AAGTGCCTGAAAGAGGGGCTCTGGCCTCATCTGGACCCAGATAGACCCACTCTCCCACCCACGTGCTCTTGCTTTCATCACTGTTTCCGCAATTCCAGGCAGAGGTCCCCATAGGGGGACCCCGAGCCAAGAGGAGGCGACCCTTAGATGCCTGTTTTGGTTGGTTCTTCCCCACACCTTTCCCCACAGACCTGATCAAAGGCACCGTCAAGCGTGGCCTGACTGTGGAGGACTTCATCATGACGGGCATCAACTACCTGGACATGCGCAGTGACTTCTGGAGGCAGCAGAAGCCCATCTACGCCAGGGAGCGGGACCGGAAGCTGATGCAAGAGAAGTGGTTGCGGGACCACAAACGCCGTCCATCGCAGACAGCCGGCTACATCCTCAAGAGCCTGGAGGACATTGACGTGTGTAGGTGGTGGTCTCAAGAGAACGGAGCCATGGCCAGGTGGGGACGAAGCCACATAGTAGCCTGAGCCCCTGGCTTCACTGGACTGGGAACAGTCTCTTGGGGGAACAGTAGGCTCACCTGTTAGCCAGGAGGAGGCTGCACTCACCTCCACATCCCTTCTTTCCCCTTCCCAGTGCTGACCAGCGGCAGTGCTGAAGGCAGCCTTCAAAAAGCTGAGAAAGTGCTGAAGAAGGTGCTGGAATGGAACAAAGAAGAGGTGCCCAACAAGGATGAGCTGGTGGGAAACTTGTACAGCTGCATTGGGAATGCCCAGATCGAGATGGGGCAGATGGTGGCAGCCCTTCAGAGCCACAAGAAGGACCTGGAGATCGCCAAGGAACAGTGAGTGCCTGCAAGTGCTTGCAAGGCCAAGCAGCCAAGGCCCTTGGGCCTCCAGAGGCCAGGGGCTGGGGCTTCATCTCCACCTTTTGCCAGGGCTGCTGGTGGCTGAACTCCCATTTTCTGCCCTGAGTGTCTGAGGTAGATTCCCCTGCAGGGAGGAACCACCTGCCCAGGACAAGGGCAAACCTAGGCTGTCAGCTTTTTTGCCACAAAGAGGAAGGTAGTGGCCCCAGACGCCAAAAAGCTCCCAGTGGTTTGGCTCTTAGGGATATTGTTTTTTGAACAACTTTTCTGTGGTATAATTTTTATACAGTACACTACACATATTTCAAATATACAATTTGATAAATTTTGATAAATGTATACACCTATGAAACCACTACCAAAATCAAGATAGCTAACATTTCCATCATTCTTCAAGAGATGTAAATTTCAAAATCCCAATTTATCCTTCCTACCCCTTAACCCCCTGGTAACCATAAGTTTGTTTTCTACGTCTGTGAGTCTATTTCTGTTTTGTAAATAAGTTTGTAATGTGTCTTTTTTTTTTTTTGTAGTGATGTCTATTTAGGTCTTCTGAACATTTTTTGATTGAGTTTTTTGTTTTTTTTTTTATATTAAGCTGTATGAGCCATTTGTATATTTTGGAAATTAGTCCCTTGTTGGTCGCATCATTTGCAAATATTTTCTCCCATTCTGTAGGTTGTCTTTTTGTTTTGTTGATGGTATCCCTAGCTGTGCAAAAGCTTTTAAGTTTAATTAATTAGTAAAATTTGTTTACTTTTGCTTTTATTTCCGTTACTCTAGGAGCTGGTTTGAAAAAAATATTTTTATATTGATACAACATTGTAAACTGACTATAACTCAATAAAAAAGAGGAAAAAATATTTTTATGGTTTATGTCAAAGAGTGTTCTGCCTGTTGTCCTCTAGGAGTTTTATAGTATCTGATCTTACATTTAGGTCTTTAATCCATTTTGAGTTTATTTTTGTATATGGTGTTAGAGAATGTTCTAATTTCAGTCTTTAATAGGTAGCTGTCCAGTTTTCCCAGCACCACTTATTGAAGAGACTGTCTACTCTCCATTGTGTAATCTTGCCTCCTCTGTTGTAGATTAATTTATCGTAAGTGCATGAGTTTATTTCTGGACTTTCTATCCTGTTGCATTGATCTATGTGTCTGTTTTTGTGCCAGTACCATATTGTTTTGATTACTGTAGCTTTGTAGTACAGTCTGAAGTCAGGGAGCATGATTCCCCTGGCTCTGTTGTTCTTTTTCAAGATTGTTTTGGCTATTCAGGGTCTTTTGTGTTTCCATACAAATTTTAATATTTTTTGTTCCAGCTCTGTGAAAAATGTTGTTGGTAATTTGATAGAGATTGCATTGAATCCGTATATTGCCTTGGGTAGTATGGCCAATTTAACAATATTGATTCTTCCAATCCAACAACATGGTGTATCTTTCCATCTGTTTATGTCATTTTCAACATCTTTCATCAGTGTCTCATACTTTTCAGAGTACAGGTCTTTTGCCTCCTTGGGTAGGTTTATTCCTAGGTATTTTATTCTTTTTGGTGTAATGGTAAATTAGATTGTTTCCTTAATTTCCTTTTCTGCTATTTTGTTGTTAGTGTATAGAAATGCAGCTTGTTTCTGTATATTAATTTTGTATCCTGCAACTTTATCAAATTCATTGATTAGCTCTAGTAGTTTTCTGGTAGCTTCTTTAGGGTTTTCTATGTATAGTATCGTGTCATCTGCAAAAAATGACAGTTTTATTTCTTCATTTCTAATTTGGATTCTTTTTATTTCTTTTTCTTCTCTGATTGCTATGGCTAGGACTTCCAAAACTGTGTTGAATAAAAGTGGCAAGAGTGGGCATCCTTGTCTTGTTCCTGATCTTAGAAGAAATACTTTCAGCTTTTCCCCATTAAGTGATGTTATCTGTGGGTTTGTCATATATGATCTTTATTATGTTGAGGTATGTTCCATCTATGCCCATTTTCTGGAGAGTTTTTTTTTTAATCATAAATGGATGTTGAATTTTATCAAAAGCTTTTTCTGCATCTATTGAAATGATCATATGGTTTTTATTCTTCAATTTGTTAATGTGGTGTATCACATCGATTGATTTGCAGATGCTGAAAAAAATCCTTGCATCCCTGGGATAAATCCCACTTGATCACGGTGTTTGATCCTTGTAATGCATTGTTGGAATTGATTTCTAGTATTTTGTTGAGGATTTTTGCATCTATATTCATAAGTGATATTGGCCTATAATTTTTTGGTGTGATATCTTTGTCTGATTTTGGTATCAGGGTGATGGGGACCTCATAGAGTTAGGAAGTGTTCCTTCATCTGCAATTTCTTGAAATAGTTTTTGAAGGATAGGTGTTAACTCTTCTCTGAATATTTGGTAGAGTTTACCTGTGAATCTGTCTGGTCCTGGACTTTTGTTTGTGGAGAGTTTTTAAGCTACTGATGCAATTTCAGTACTGGTAATTGGTCTATTCATAGTTTCTATTTCTTCCTAATTCAGTCTTGGCAAATTGTACGTTTCTAAGAAATTGTCCATTTCTTCTAGATTGTCCTTTTCGTTGGCCTATAGTTGCTCATAGTAGCCTCTTATGATCCCTTGTATTTCTGTGGTGTCAGTTGTAACTTCTCCTTTTTCACTTTCAGATTTTATTCATTTGGGCCCTCTCCCTTTTTTTCTTGATGAGCCTGACTAAAAGTTTATCAATTTTGTTTATCTTTTCAAAGAACCAGCTTTCAGTTTCATTGATCTTTTCTATTGTTTTCTTAGTCTCTATTTCATTTATTTCTGCTTTAATCTTTATGGGTTTTGTTTGTTTCTCTAGTTGCTTTAAGTGTAAGTTTAGGTTGTTTATTTGAGATTTTTCTTGTTTCCTGAGGTAAGCTTGTATTACTGTAAACTTCCCTCTTAGAACTGCTTTTGCTGTGTCCCAGAGGTTTGGGATTGTTGTATTTTCATTTTCATTTGTCTCAAAGTATTTTTTGACTTCTTCTTTGATTTCTTCAGTGATCCGTTGACTGTTTAATAGCATATTGTTTATATTTTCTCCTATTCTGTAGATTGTCTTTTTGTTTTGCTTATGATTTCCTTTGCTGTGCAAAAGCTTGTAAGTTTAACTAGGTCCCATTTGTTTATTTTTGCTTTTATTTCTATCGCCTGGGTAGACTGCCCTAGGAGAACTTTGCTAAGATTTATGTCACATAATGTTTTGCCTATGCTTTCCTCTAAGAGGTTTTTGGTGTCTTATGTTTAAGTCTTTAACCATTTTGAGTTTATTTTTGTGTTTGGTGTGAAAGAGTGTTCTAAATACATTGATTTACATGTGGCTGTCCAGCTTTCCCAGCACCACTGGTCAAAGAGACTGTCTTTTCTCCGTTGTATATTCTTGCCTCCTTTGTTGAAGATCAATTGACCATAGGTGTGTAAGTTGATTTCTTGACTCTGTATTTTGTTCCATTGGTCTTTATGTCTGTTTTTGTGCCAATACCATACTGTTTTGATTACTGTAGCTTTGTAGTATTATCTGAAGTCTGGCTTTGTTCTGTTTCCTTAGGATTGCTTTGGAAATTCTGGATCTTTTGTGATTCCATATAAATTTTAGGATCATTTGTTCTAGTTCTGTGAAAAATATCCTGGGTAATTTGATAGGGATTGCATTAAATCTATAGATTGCTTTGGGCAGTATGGCCATTTTAACAATGTTAATTCTTCCAATCCAAGAGCATGGGAGATTTCTCCTTTTATGTCTGTTAACAGTTGCCATATATATTGAAGTGCTTGTATGTTGGGTGCATGTATATTTACGGTTGTTATATCTTCTTCTTGGATTGATCCCTTGAGCGTTATGTACTGTCCTTCTTTGTCTCTTATAACAGTCTTTATTTAAAATCTATTTTGTCTGATATAGCTATTGCTACTCCAGCTTTCTTTTGGTTTCTGTTTGCATGGAATATCTTTTTTCCATCCCTTCACTTTCACCTTGTATGTGTCTCTAGCTCTGAAGTGCGACTCTTGTAGACAGCATGTATATGGGTCTTGTTTTTGTATACATTCAGCCAGTCTATGACTTTCGGTTGGAGCATTTAATCCATTTACATTTAAGGTAATCATCAATATATATATTCTTATTGCCATTTTGTTAATTATTTTGGGTTTGTTTTTGTAGGTCTTTTCTCTCTCTCTCTCTCTCTTGATTCTCTTTTGGTTTGATGACTGTATAGTTACACTGATTTGTGGTTACCATGAGGTTTTGGTATAGAAGTCTATGTATATATACACACACACATACATACATAATTTAAGTTGCTGATCTCTTAATTTCAGATGCTTTGTAGATACCCTTCATTTGTACCCTCCTCCTCTCATGATTACTTTTCTTGTTTCTATTTGTGACCTTCTCTTTTTTTACCTAGAGAAGTTCTTTCAATTTGTTGTAAAGCTGTTTTGGTGGTGTTGAATTCTTTTAGCTTTTGTTTATCTGTGAAGCTTTTGATTTCTCCATCAAATCTGAATGAGAGCCTTGCTGGATAGAGTATTCTTGGTTATAAATTTTTCCCTTTCATCACTTTAAATACATCGTGCCACTCCCTTCTGGCCTGTAGAGTTTCTGTTGAAAAATCAGCTAATAACCTTATGGGAGTTCCCTTATAAGTTTGTTGCTTTTCTCTTGCTGATTTTAATATTTCTCCTTATTTTTAATTTTTGTTATTTTGATTACTGTGTGCCTTGGTGTGTTCCTCTTTGGGTTAATCCTATGTGGAACTCTCTGCACTTCCTGGACTTCGGTGACCGTTTCCTTTCCCAAGTAAGGGAAGTTTTCAGCTATTATCTCTTCAAATATTTTCTCAGGTCCTTGCTTTCTCTCTTCTCTTTCTGGGACCCCTATAATGCAAATATTAGTGTACTTCATGTTGTCCCAGTGGTCTTTTAAACTATCCTCATTTCTTTTTCTTTTCATTCTTTTTTCTATTATGCAGTAGTGATTTCCACTACTCTACCTTCTAGCTCACTGATCCATTCTTCTGCCTCATTTAGTGTATTCTTGGTTCCTTCTAGTGTTATTCATTTCAGTGATTTTATTCTTCAGCTCTGTTTGGGTATTTATATTTTCCAACTCTTTGCTTAAAACTTCACTCTGTGCATCTATGATCCTCCTGAGTTCTCTGAACATCTTTAGAATCATTACTCTAAACGCTTTCTTGGATAGATTGCCTCTCTCCTCATCACTTATTTCTTCTTTTGGGATTTTATGTTGTGCCTTTGCCTGGAATATATTCCTCTTCTGGCTCATATTGTCTAAATTTCTGTTTGTATTTTTAGGTAGGTTAGGTTATATTTCTCGACCTTGGAGAAGTGGCCCTGTATAGGAGACGTCATACACATCCCAGCCGTGTGCTCCTTTCTTGTCACCCAAGAGCCAGGGTCCAGCCTGTCCCAGGGTAGAGTCTGGCCTGTATTTGTGGATTCCTTCCACAGGCTTTGGGATTATTGTTTTCTTACTTCTGATATCTGCTCCCTGGTGAATGAGGCTGATCTAGAGTCTTGTGCAGGTTTCCTGGCAGGAGGAGTTGGTGCCTGCCCACTGCTGGGTGGAACTTAGTCCTGGCCCTCTGGTGGGTAAGGCCTTGTCTAGGGGCATATCTAGAGGTGGCTTTGGGCTCAGGAAGTCTGTTGATGGGTGAGGCTGCATTCCTTCCCCAGTATGTTGTTTGGCCTGAGGCTTCCAGCACTTAAGCCTACAGGCTTTTGGGTGGGGCTAGATCTTGGTGCTAATAACCCAAGCAAGATGTCAGCCTCCAGGAAAGCTCATGTAGGTGAACATTCCTGGAATGTCTGAATGTCCACCACCAGCTTTTATGTCCCCAGGGTAAGCCACAGCTGCCCCCTACCTCCCCAGAAGACCTTCCAAAACCAGCAGGCAGATCTGGCCCAGGTTCCTATGAAATCACTGCCTCTGTCCTTGGACCTGGCACATGCAAGATTCTGTGTGTACTTCCCAGGAGAGTGAAGTCTCTGTTTCCTCTAGTCCTGTGGGGCTCCTGGAGCTAAGCCCTGCTGGCTTTCAAACTAGATGTTCTGGAGTCTCCTCCTCCTAATGTCGGAACCCCAGGCTAGGGAGCCTGATGTGGGGCTCAGAACTCTCACTCCAGT